CTCCTTCAGGTAGTTGAAGGCTGTTATCAAATCCCCCCTCATTCTTCTCTTCTGCAGACTAAACAAGCGCAGTTCCCTCAGCCTCTCCTCATAAGTTATGTGCCCCAGCCCCCTAATCATTTTTGTTGCCCTCCGCTGGATTCGCTCCAATTTGTCCACATCCTTTCTGTAGTGGGGGGCCCCAAACGGGACATAATACTCCAGATGTGGCCTCACCATTGCTGAATAGAGGGGAATAATCACTTCCCTCAGAGTGATTATTCCTGGGCTTGGTTTCTAAAGCCAGGTCTCCCTCCTCCTTTGCTCAGCATGGTGATGGGATGGAATTTAAATCTGGATCCAGAGACAAATTTCATGGTTTGTCCATCTATAATGCACTGAACCAAAATAATAGAGCCAAAGACCCACAAATATATGAGAGTGTGAATCAAAAATTGGTTCCAATTTGGAGCCTGTTTCTAGTAATAATTTATTCCATTTGCAAGTAGTGGACCAAAAACTGCAGACACTCCTCACCAAATATTTCCCTTGATGCCAATTTCAGTAAAGACTGAGTAAGCGATTTGATATAGCATCGTAGCCATAGGCCGTTGCACACAATGCAATGAATAGAAACATTAATTTAAAACAATGGTCAATAAAACAAATACAAATGTTAAAAACATAAGATTAGCACTTCCTTAAAATCAGTTACATCTTTAAAATCACCACCCCTAAAACAATACACAAAACTAAGTTAAAAAAACAAAACAAAGAAAAAGGAATACATTATTTAATTTAGGTCAGAAGTAGCCTATATGTCATATACATTATTTACACAGAATTTGGCCTTATATTGTAAATATGAATAAAGTTTAAAAATGTAAAAGGAAGATTTTCCTACTTGAACAACGACAACTTAAGATGATAACGATGATAACGATGACAACAATGAGGACAACAACCGTGCCTATGAGAATCTTGTTTTGTAGGACTAAGTGAGCCTCAACCATTTTTTCTGTAGAACAAGACAAATAAAAAAGGTCATTAGTTACTGAAAATATCCAACACATAGATTTGTCCTGATCCAATAGTGTCTTTCCATTTTAAAGATAGAGAACGCTTCTAGATTGTGTGGGGTCTTTTGTTGTGTGTATTTTCTGGAACCATAATTAAAATTATTTGACAAATGAAATGGATGAAATGGTTACAGACCTGTCAGGATTTCAAACAAACTAAAACAAACAAAAAAGCACAGCTCATTTATTATTTTTGTTCCTCAATATTACATCAGTGAGGTTTTTTTTCTTTAAACAAATAGCTTTCACAACATACAAAATCTTTAAGCATAAAAAGGGGAAAGCTCCTGTCTTAAATTTATCCCACTGAGACACCAATAAATCCTGACCACTAATTGACTTTGTAGGTTTGGATGGTCAGGAATTTTGTTAAACCCACAGCAGAATTCACTCATTTTAGGCTCTAAAATTACACCTGTTCTCCTTTGTCTTCAGCTCACCAATGGTTCTTAACTTTGATTATTATGATATACTCATAATGAATAATAATAAACATTTTGGTGTGATTGAAAGTAGAGAACAAAAAATGCAGACTTACCAGTGCTCTTCTCAAGGCTTTCTGGGGGAAAAAGAAAGAAAATGTTTTACACCTTGTTTCCTCTAAACTGTGCATTCATATGTGTGCCCTGGGGTGGGAAATAGATCAAATGACCCAGTGAAGGACAGAGTGTGCCCACATTTAACTAATCCAATACTTTGGATTGTGACAAAATGAGTATTTCCTCTACCTTGTAAGAATCATTTGTGTCTGTTTCCTATGCAGAAAGGGTGAGCTTTTTGGTGTTCTTTAGTTAATCATGTCTTTTCTTGAATGTATTTGGGCAAATGATGTGAAAGATAAGTCCACTGTGTTTAAGGAAACAATAAAAGCCCCTACACACATGCTAACCAGTTTCCCAGAGGTTACCCTGAAGTCCCTGGGAGTTGTGGGTTTTTAGCACCTCACGTCCCTCAGGCCCCTATAAACTGGGGTTGGGGGGTTCACACAGTTCATAGCTCATGCAGGCTGAGTTCATTACATGCACCAGGGGCTCCTTTATCCGCTGCGTCACCTTTGTCCATATGTTGACTCCCTCAAAGAATTGGTAAGGCATGAGTTTCCTTTACAAAAGCTGCATTGACTCTTCCCCAAGATATTGTGTTCATCCAAGTGTCTGATAATTCTGTGCTTTTCTATAGTTTCAACCAATTTGCCTGGTACTGAAGTTCAACTTACCAGCCTGTAATTGCCAGGATCACCTGTGAAGCCTTTTTTAAAATAAACCTGTTGCTACAGTAGCTATCTGCCAGTCATCTATTACAGGCTGTTCTGTATAATGCAGCTGATTTCTCCTGTTTCCTCTCCCAGGGTTGTAACATGGCCTAGAACACTGAAGTTCATGATCCTGCTCTGTTTTGGTCACAGGTTGCAGATCCTGCCCATTCTTTGTAACCCAGTGGAGTTCAGGTTTGGGGAACCACCCTGTTGACCTGCAGGCTTGCTCAATCCCCTGGCCCTGGGGACCCAGCACATCAATGGACACAGAAGCAACAGCTAAAACAAGAAGAGAGATACAGAAGGGACTGTCTTCAGGGAAACAATGTTGTCCCTTTGTTATGGCTTTATTTTTAACTCAGGGCATTGTCCCAATTTCTGTGTTTTTCCTACTGGAGTTCAAAGAAATTCTTCACCTGATTCTCCAGGGAATTCCAGATCATGACGAGTCTCCACAATAAAGTTGTACAGCTGCCTAGTCTCCAAAATGCCACATGCCAATGCCAATCCTCAGGCCAGGTCTACACTCAAAATTTAGGTCGACCCAGCTACATTGCTTGGGGGGGGGGGGGAATCCAAACCCTTGAGTGGTGCAGTTAAGCCGACTTAACCCCAGTGTAGACAGCACTAGATAGATGCAAGAATTCTTCTGTCAACCCAGTTCTTGTCTCTCGGGGAGATGGATTCACTACAGTGATGGGAGAACCCCTTCTGTTGCTGTAGTGTGTGTCTATAAGGAAGTTCATCAATGGTTTTTATCTTTTATAATTATGATATTACTCATAATCTATCATCATAAATATTTTGGTGTTATTGAAAGTAGAGAACAAAGAATAAAGACTTACCAGTTTTCTCCTCAGAGGTTTCTGGGGGGGAATAAAAAAAGAAAATGTTTTACACCTTGTTTCCTCAAAATGGTGCATTCGTATGTGTGCACTGGGATGGGAAATAGATCAGATGCCCCAATGAAGGAGAGAGTGTGCCCACATTTAACTAATCAAATACTTTCCATTGTGACAAAATGAATATTTCCTCTCCCTTGTAAGAATCATTTGTGTCTGTTTCCTATGCAGAAAGGGTGAGGATTTTTGTGTTCTTTAGCTAATCACATCTTTTCTTGTGTGTGTTTGGGCAAATGATATGATAGGTAAGTGAACTGTGTTTAAGAAAGCATTGTTTCAAGAAAACAATAAAAGACCCTACACACATGCTAACCAGCTTCCCGGAGATTACCCTGAAGTCACTGGGAGTTGTGGGTTCTTAGCACCTCACATGCCTCAGGCCCCTGTAAACTGGAGTTTGTGGGTCACATAGTTCATAGTTTATGCAGGCTGAGCTCATTGCACGCACCAGGGGCTCCTTGCATCTCTCCATCCCCTCACAAGTCCCTGTAGGACCCCATCCCATTCCCCTCTATTGCAGGGACTCCCTGCAGCCACCCAACCTTTCCCCCATGCCAGTGGCTCTATGTGTCCCTCCTTCCACTCTGTCCCCATGCCAAATGCCCCATGGCCCCTCTATGCCAGCGTTCCTGCGTGCAGCCCCCTTACCCTTCTCTTCACATGCCTCCCCATCCCCACCTTCCCACCCTCAAGTTAGGTTGACCTAGTTATATTGCTCGGGGGGGGGGGGGTGAAAAATCCACACCCTTGAGAGGTGCAGTTAAGCCGACCTAACCCCAGTGTAGACAGCACTAGGTTGATGCAGGAATTCTTCTGTTATGCTAGCTTTCACCTCTCGGGGAGATGGATTCACTAGTGATGGGAGAACCCCTCCTGTCGCTGTAGTGTGTGTGTCTACACTGAAGTGCAGATAAGCCCTTAGACAGGGACCTCAGTGGGCTGGGTCTGTTTCTCCATTCCCTAGTCCCTGCAGTTGGAGCAAGGATGGAAGAGAGAAAGGGCTTTAAGCCACCTTCACTCTCTCTGTATTCTGGGGCCAGGTAAGTCCTGCCCAGCCCCCTGGTATAAGTTAGAGCAGCTGGTTCCCATGGGGCCTGGTAAGCAGAGGATATCCATGGTGCATTGTGCTCTGCCCAGGTGCCTAACACATCCCAATCTGTCCTTATATTGGAGGCTGGGTGCTGAGTGGGTGCAAAGCCATTAAACCAGCCAGGCCCAGATCCCCAAATGCCTCTTGAATCACCTGTCCGTATCTCAGTAACACAAACAAAATCCTTTTCTCTGCTTGTCATAAACAGATAGTTAAGGGTTAATGCCTCTTTCACCTGTA